TGGTACTATTTCTCTCTTGTATTTAATCGTCCCCAAACACCTTACCTTTGGATTTTCCACTGAGCTTTTAGTCTCTTCTGCATGGATTTGTAGCCATTGTTCGTAGTAAAAAGCTCTCTTTTTGAAGCATTGAAGACCACGCTGTTGTACTGTTCCTTCTCCATTGTTTACCAGCTTCAGTCACCAAAGTTAGTACTCTTATCATCCACACACCTAAAAGACGTTAAAAGCCCAAGTCAGACTTTACCATTAGTCCAGGGCTGCTATTCGCCAGCTGTAATTAGCATAGTTTGGGGTTTGCATCCACCGTCGTGTGCTAAAATGGTGTTAGCAAAAAACAGCCAAGAAGCTCGCTAACATTATGGTTAGCCGTGAAGCTAATAGCGAGGTGTTTTCGCTTCGTTTCACTAAAGACTGCTATGGTAACCTGTCAACTGTAGCACTCTGTTTTCCCCTTATGTCAAAGCCCAGGTTTACATTATTAAATGTTAAGAACCTCAAAGCGCTCTCAGAAGCGGTGCATTATGGGAAATAATGGTAACCAAGGGCGCTAACAGCATAGCAACTGGATAGCGCAGAGCACCGTGTCAAAGCAACGTACACTTAAAACAGCTTTTCAGCGGGTTTGTTCAGTTAGCATCACTCCACGGTCAAAACATTTGCACTTTGAAGTGCTAGATAAAGTTAAAGAAATGTTCTGTGGTTTAACGATGGTTTTTATAAACAGAAAAACTTACAAACAAGTCAAAACTTTAAAGGTGAAGGATGTGGCCATAGGTGGAAATCTGTTGGGGAATTCTGGAGCAGCAATGATGGTGATAGTCTGACAGAAGTATAACCCAGAAACAGGGGTGGATCTAGAGAAATTTTCTTAGGGTGGTATGAAGGTTGCATGGAAATCAAATGGGGTGGGGAAATCAAAGCCGTTTTTTACACATAACCAGGTGTTACATTATGTATTATGTATTATATATCATTAAAATACATCAAATACAGTAAGTTTACGCATGTTTCATATAAATATACTATAACTTTCTTGTTTTCTTTAGCCCACACAATTAAACATTTCAGTTACATAAAAAAAATGCAAATTTTATGTACTGTATAGCCTGTATAATAAATAAGTATGTAGTCCAATAAGTTTAAAATCCAGAAAGCTACACAACATGAGGTCGTTCATTTAGAAACACAAGTCCCACTTAAATTTCACACTCTTTTTTCTTAAAAATAATCAGATTTTCCTTGTTTTTTAATCATTTTTTCCTCGTTTTTTTAATAATCAGATTTTTCCTCGTTATGGTTGTTTTTGCTTCCAGGTCACAAAAGCAGATGAAGAGAAGATGATGGAACTATTTGATCAAGTTGTGGCCCGTGATTGTTTGGGACCAATACATGTTGACAGGAAAAAATCAATCATAAAGTCTGTGTATTCATTACTGAAATGGCTATCAAAAATTATTTCGCATGACATCTTCATTCAGAATGATTTCAAGTATTATTTCATACCTGTCTATTAGTGCCATCATGGTGCATCACTGGTGCGGCTGATCCCAATACCCAACCAAGTATGACAGGAACTAAAGGTCTGTGGTTCAGATGAGGTGTGGGGACCTTCACCAGATGTGCCAGCAACTCAGATCTCAGGATCTGAGAATGTGTGCGGGACCCTGGAGGCAGCACCATCATACCAGCTGGTGAGTCTGTAGGAGGAGATGGAGTGGTGTTCCCCCTCGGACTCTGCTGCACGGGGGTAAAAAAAGGTGTCATCAGCTGCTCTGAGTGAAACAATCCCCTGACTGCGATATGAGGAAACTCCTTGGACCCCGTAACCAGGTCATGGTAAAGGGAGAGGAATAGATTGTTCATAGAGTCCAAATGGCTGCTGTTTAAAGGATGGTTCCTCAAGTTTGTGATGAAAATCTGACGTACGAACATCACCTGCGAGAAAACAAAAACAAGGATGCAGACTTCCTCGCGTTTGTGCTGTCACCTGACTTTGGTGGGGAAGGCCCAATCAGAAGACAGTGAGAGATGTGTGTCGTCAGTTTTCTTCAGGATTTCTATCAGATGTTGAAAGATGATGGTAACGGCATATAAATATCCCCCTTCTCTGGAAGTACTGCACTTGGGACCTGAGACTACTACTACTACTAATAATAATAATAATAATAATAACAACTACTGACCTCTCGCTCAGAAAAGAGAGCTGGCCACCTTCTTTTGAAATCGCCACTGAAAGGCTCATCTCACCAGGAATCTACTGATCTCTGCGATGCCTGTGATCTACACAGGTGACTTCGGAGTGCATTCCAAGTTTTAAAGGTGCATGGACAATTTAAATATGTGCATGGATAATGGTGTCTGCGGCAAAAGTTGCCATGGTTTGACCTGTAGCGCTTCAATAACTGAGATCTTCTAGTCTCTTGTGCTGCACACTCTTTCCACTTCCACATTCATGTTACTGAAATTGAAGCAAAACAAAAAGACATCATATCATTATATTACTTGTTACTTTAAATATCCTCATGGAGTGTAAAGATACACTCTGACCCCTCATTATGATGTTGCAGATGAATACTTCTAAACATTTAATGGTGATGGCATTTACTTAACACTATGTACGCATCACCAATGTGTGATGTGTGTTGATAAGCAATAGTGTGTGCATATATATGATGGCGTGTCTACGTGTTTGTGTGTGTGAATGGGTGGCTGTCGATAGCTTGGAGTGGGATTTGTGACGGGAGATGTACGGTTCCAGGATGTAACGATATGGACATAAACAACTGTGGGATACTGTCTGTTCGTGATTTGGACAGGGGGAACAAACTGTGGCAGGATCAGCCTGATATTATTTGTATCCCACTGTAACTTTACTGTATAAAGAGCTAACATCTCCAAAATTTCAGTAGTTAGTCATTATAAGAAGTGTTTATGAACTAAAAATCAAGAATGTGGGATGCTGTTTGTCCGTGATTTGGAAAGCCCAGAGCGTGCTCCCGACGCTGGGGAAACAAATTCTGCCGTGGATACTTACCTTGGCACCACTGTTGTGCAGGTGAAGCCAAAGACAAGATAGGCTTCATCATATTTTCTAGTCTTTGGCTTGGAAACATATTTGGCGTTACTTCATCTTCTGCTTTGCGTTTGTGTGGGAGCCCCATCAAAAACCTCTCCACTATGCTAGCAGTGTCCAAGCATAGTTCAAGCATATTCATCACACCCCCCCACTTTGGGAACAACTGTTACTGGGTGGTTGTGGCCTATGAGGCGAGTCACATTCGCCCCTAAGTAATGAATACATTTCATACAAATCATCTACTGATGGAAATGTTGGCCGTTCCAACCCTGGCTGCTCCAGTCTGTATCCCAAAGTATCCTTGGGCACAATACTGAACACAAGTTGAATGTGGGAAAGAAAGTTAGAGAAGGACAACGTTAGATAGAAAGCCCTTAAATATAGGAAGGGTGCTTGTATGAATGTGTGTGAATGACGCATGTTGTATAAAGTGCTTTGAGTGCATGAGTAGTGCTATATAAAAGTTCATTTTATAAAGCAGTTGCTTATTGCTATGTGATAGCCTCTAGCAGATTTGGAGGTAGACTCCAGGTGCCTTATTTGTGGTAAAACAAGAGACAGATCTATCTGTGAGGATTTTTCTCTTTTTACAAACTAGCTTCAAATGAATGAATATTAGTAAATAAAAAAAATCTATAAATATTGTTAAACATTAACAAAAAAAGCAGAGCTTGTTCTTTTTATTCTGTTATTTTATTACAATATAACATTACAAATAAATGATGTAGACTGTTTCAAAATGACTGGGGACTTTAAAAGGCAAACAGCTAAAAAAAAAACAACCATCACAAACCATGCAAATGTATTCATTACAAACAAAAGTATTAGTTGGGACTGAAAAAATATGAAGCAAGTTTCGCTGCTGCTGTCAGCTGTTCGACTCAAATTGTACATTTGGACTTCACTAAAGAGAGAAATACTGTCACGTAAAGAGTTTCATTAGTTTCATCTAATAACTATTTAATTTAACAGAAAATACAAACAAAGAAACAAACAAAAAAAAGACTGTCAAGAAAAGACAGATTTATAGATTTCACAGCCTCCCAGTTTGTGCCAGAAGATTGAAACCTTTCTGCTTCTGTAAACACCTCAGACAGGCCTGAGATTGTCAGAGATCCAATCAATCCTGCGAGGCTGATCTGGATCGAGAGCGAGACTTGGAGCGGGAGGCGGAGCGCTTGGCAGGGGACTTGGATGCCTCCTTGCTCGGGGGTGATTTGGAGGTATGTTTCTCTCCCCTACTCTCTGAACGGGACCTTGATCGGCTTCGTGACTTCTTACTGGACGACTTCTCCTTGGAACGACTCCGGGATTTGCGCGTGGCTTTGACTTTGGATGAGCTCTTGGAGCGAGACTTCCGAGTGCTGCTCTTGGAGGGACTGTGAGATTTGCGAGTGCGAGAACGAGACTTCTCTGGGGATTTAGAACGGGATTTCCTCTTGGATCTGGAATGCGACTTCCCCTCTGACCTGGAGCGAGATCGCCCTTTGCTGCGTGACCGAGACCTGCAACACACAGAGAGAGAGAGAAAGAGAGAGAGGAATAATTCGTCACTAACTTGGTCAGGTCCCTGCACACCATCAACTACCAGGTTTCAGGACTGAGATGTAGTAAACAATCATAGTAACTGGGTACTTTGGCTTTCTCTGACACCATATTTCCTTAATAACATGACAAAAACATGACTTCCTGCTGCTGAAAAGGTTAAAAAACTGAACAGATGAAGAAGCAGTCCACATGAAAATGACAAATGGGTTTGACGTCTTCGTCAAAGCGGAACCACTAAAATTAAAACGGCTGCTGAAAAGACAAAAAGCTAAATGTGCTTAAAGCATGAGACAAAGCCATTCAAACGTAACTGACCGTGAGCGGGACCTGGACGAGCTTCTACTTCTGCGACTGTGAGAGCGCCGTCTGCTACGAGACCTGTGGGTTCGAAAGTAAAAACAACTTTAAAGTGGACGTGGAAATCTGCTCACCACCAACATTACGTGTTAAGTTTAAAATAATCCTTAATTATCCTGAACAGCAATAACAGATAAAACATAAGAAAAGAAAAGTGAACAAACAATAAGCATGAAAACATTAAACCTCACTTACCTGGATCTGCTGCCAGAATATGAGCGTCGGCGGCGAGGTTTGTCTTCCACCAGACGAATCTTCCTTCCATTAATATCAGTGCCGTCCAGTTTTTCCAGAGCTCGTTTCATGTCTGAACGGGAACGAAATTCGATGACGCCCTCGTTGGCCCGTCCTTTATGAGCGTCAGCATAGGTTACTTCACCCGCCTGCCTCATAAAGTCCTATGACACAAATAAAAACACGACTCTGAAAATGACTGTGGCTAGTTGTGGATGACATGTGGCACGTTAGCTCTATCTACCACTGGACATAATTAAGCTGTTCCCACACAGGAAGCAATTCGCTTGTTGCACATCGATTTGAAGCTGAAGTTTGGTCGTTCGTGTAGCAGCCAATCAAATCTCAACACAGATTCATCCTGTAGGTGGTTAGGTCCAGGCTAATTTTTCTTTCTTGCAAGGGCAACTGCCATCCTCTGCTGACATGCAGAGGTGGTCAGGAAAAGGAGACACGAGATACAAAGTCTCACCTTAAGGTCCTGCCAGCTGCACCTGCTGGACAGGTTCTCCACAATGAGGCGGTGTTCAGTGCGAACAGGTGGCCCGTACTTATCCCTGCCGGTGCGATTCCAACTGCTGTAGCCTCCACCTTCAACAAAGACAGAGAGACTAACATTTCATTTAAGGCCAGAACACTTCAAAAAAAGGACTCCAAACTGGCCTAAAACGATTTACTAGATCACTGCAGACTGAACCTCTCTTGTTTTTGTTCTTAAACCTCCTTCAACTATTAATTATACCATCAACTAATACCTGTGAACCTGTCTTAATTGTGAAAGTGAAGGGGATTAAAGATGCCAGTGGTTTTTAGTATAAATCCCAGAGTCCTATTGATTTCTTTATATGTAGACAGGGATCGCTTAATTTAGCATTTAAAGAACAGAGAAAATGCGCAGCACCCTATGCCCTGTGGACAAGGAATAAAAAACACTTTATTAAGAATTACACAGCAGTTCTTCTCCTTTAGTTGTATTTATTAAACAGCTAAAGATTTGCCTAAATATACAAAAAAAAAGGATTTTTTATTCTGTCCTTATAAGACACATCTAACGCCTCTTTTTTTCTCTTTATATACTGGGAATAATGTGATGCTTGATTCTTGCTGTTGAAGCTGTTTTAGAGTCTACAGTTTAAATATAAGGAAAGGCTCTTTCTAAATTTCTTATTTTCTAGTCTTACTGTACAATAAAATATGCCTTATTCTGAACTCTATCCACTTGAAACTCAATGACACAAACATGAAACCTACCAAACTCTTTTACTACAGAGTACAGGGAGCCAATTCACAGGCTCAAACGCGTGTTGGCTCGATCCTCTGCGACATGTCTTGCGTCAGTAAAACCAACAGGATTCCTCACCATCACCCTGGTCTATTGGAAAAGGGTGCTGTCATCACGGCTTCCGGTTATGTCAACCAATGGTCAAAGGGCAAAGGTCACACACACATTTCAAGGGAGAAAACCCAGGCCAAACAGGTCAGGCAGTCATCGTTACCCTCATTGGACTCGGACCCAGCCCGCAGTGGACTCTTTCAAATTGAAACATCAAGCACTGTGTTAATGTCGACTTCAAATTGAATACATCGTAGCTTCACAAGTCTTACCTTTTCTTTAATCACTGTTACTCATTGGATTTTAATACAGTTCTCTTTACACAAAGGCACAATGGATTTGAGTGCTAATGGGAATAGACGTGTAAATTAGCAATGTGTATGGCAGGGCATGTCACATGTGTACAGGCAGCTTCAGTGAAACTCATTTAATTCTTTGCTTCAAGAGTCAGTGCAAGTGTAGCTCACGTTAGTTAGCACAAACGTGTAAGAACCCCACGTCTGTATGACAATCATGCTTTGCTCTCAATCAGACGTGTTCAACTTACTACGTCCCCCATAGCCATATCCGTCTCTCCTGGGTCCACGGGCATGCTCGATAACGACCCGCTCTCCACAAAGTTCCTTTCCATTCAGCTCATACACAGCATCATCAGCATCTCGCATGTCCTCAAACTCGACAAAGCCGTACCTAAGAATCAGTGTGCAGGAGTCAAAACAATGGCAAACACTAGCCATTAATATCATTACCAATTAACGCAAATGATTCATAATTAACTCTAAAGACTGTCTAATACGGTAAACTTTTAATCAGCGGCTAAGAGAACTGCGTTCCAATTTAAAAATCCTGGTGCTCCTGTCAAACTTTACAAGCAAGGGAATAAAGGGATTTGGGAAGCTATGGCAATTAATTTAGGAATATTTCTGTACAGTTTATCATAGACTCTGACTCTATCTGATCTGATTTGGTAATTATATGCAATCTATTTCTCTAATACAGCAATTATCTGAAACTTACACTTAACTATTATATTTGTGCTCAGCAGCCTTTGTTTTGTAGGCATATAACCAAAATACAACCAGCTGGCAGCCAGCTGATAGAGTCCCCTTGTTTGCGCTCACTGACAAATTCTTATTTAAACTGATGATTGACCCTGTAGCGTTTCCCAAGCAACTAGTGTAATGTTAGCGAAGAAAAATTAGCTACAAGTACCAAAAGCAGAGCTTTGTAAAACTTAAATGACAAAAGACAGGACATTGTACCGCAAATTCAACTTTTAGCTGACATTAGCGCGGTTAGCACCGCACACTGTCCCTACTAGGGCATCAACTCTCGGGGTTAACATTAAAATAACATCAAGCTAGCTCACTAGCTAGCAGCTAAGAAAGATGAGACGGTCTTACCCATTTTTCAGGTCGATCTCTAATAACTTGCCATAGCCACTAAAAAACCTTTGAATATCTTTCTCTCGAACATGGTAGCTAAGTTTGCCAACATAGACCCGAGGCATGCCTGAAAAATATTGGGCAGAACAAGTTAAACACAACTTGTTTGGAGCTACACACAGGCCTAGGCGACGCTCGAGGTTAGACTTCCGGAAAAAAAAACTTCAGAATAAAAGCTGACGAAAATGTATGCATGTACACACTTCAGTCTTGTGTGTGTGAAGCTTGTACATAAGACCTGTGCGGTACCTTCACACTGTACATGTCTCTTTTGACTTATGTGAATATTCAAGTCTTTGCCTTGATAAGGAGAATTTCCAGTAGGAATATGAATGAAGGATTGAATCGTGTTTATGTGTGAGAATGAAGGCATTTCTCAAACAAATGACAAGCATGCATCCATTACAACTATTTTGGTCTTTATTGACGGAAAATACATTTATTAAAAAAAGAAAAAAAACATGCTTTCATATATTAATTTTTAAATGTTTAGAATTCTTTTGCTAATCATATAATTAGATTATACAAATAAATTAGGGAACACATAAAGTATCCCTATAATTTGCTGGGCTCAGTGACTGGTTTCACTCTCAGGACACCCTCCTGGGTACATGAGGCAGCCAGCACCCCATCTCTTCTCCACATTCGGCCCTGCACCAGTCCCCTGCTGCTCCCTGTAGGGCACAAAACAGAAAGTCATTTCAGGAATGGACAAAAGGACAAGCAAAGCATAAACAAATACAAAGTCTTTGAAAGTTAGAACCAAATACACAACAATCATCATCACTGATGATGGTACCCAAAAATACTACTGTTACATTAATATTACTTAAGATAAGATAAGATTTTATTGGTTCCATGACGGGGAAATTTCAAGGTTCAAGGTTCTTTATTTGTCACATGCATAGTTATACTATGCATGGGGGTGGGGGTGGGGCGGTGGTTTAGTTTTTGCGTTACCTCAGCTCAGGTACAGATATCAGAAGGAAAATACAAAAAATACAAATAAAATAAAACAAATATAAAATAAGTAAGATAATACACAATATACAACGGTAGCATACACAGTGATTATGGATATGGTTGTGGAAATATGCAAGACATAAACTATATAGCTTAACATAACTATTCTACCACTACTATTCCTATGTAAGTAATAGATATCTATAAGTATAGATATCAGACAGAGACATCAGAGAAACACTTTTTTTTTTTTTTTTTTTTACACAGTTTTAGTATTATAAATGATATGCACAGTTATTAGCTTTGGTAGTTATCAACATAATTAGACTAAAATACTTAAAACAAACACAAATGATGGATTATAAACACTGTAATGAGGATGGGAACAGATAACTCATGGGGTGTAACAATAGTTATGCACTGATGAACTGTGAGATTTAAAAAATGAAAGTCAGCTTGGTGGAATCAGTTTGCAGTGCCTGCTTGTTTCAATAATAAGACTCATGTTAGTCTACTTTGCATTAGTTTTCACATCAGGAAGTGATATTATATACAGATAGAACTGTATGTGCATGTGTGTAGCAATCATTTGTTAAGCCTTTTTTGCTGCAGGAAATTTTTAATCAGCTGTTTCTGCTGTACTTAAATGTCTAAAATTACATAGACACTCAAATGTGATAATGAGATTAATGAAATTAAACTAAACTAAAAGCAAGAGGGAAACAAACCCCAAAATCCTGAAACAAAAAAGAACTGAAATAAATGCATGAAGTGATTTTGGTCCAAATGACCAACACAACCAGTCTGAGTGTATGTGAACTGTGGTGTACTGGTGTATCTGATTTTTAGACTGTACCTGACTGTGTATCTTGTGTTTTTATTGTTAGATTCTAATGTTATATTGTTCTCAGCTTCTTAAATCGTACCTTTGCGATCTCTATATCTGCATCTATCTATCTCTCTCCCATTACAACAAATTATAACAAAGAAAAGCTAAAAACAATATTTAATCCAATAAAAATGAAACACATACCATGTGTTTCCAGGGACAGAAAAACAAAGGCTGCTTTTCAAACTAGTAAACGAGTTCAAGCTACTAGTTTGAATAATGCAGGACATACACTTAGGTAAGCACTTTGTTTCAAAATAAAAACAAAGTGCTTACCTAAGAAAACAGTGAAGCTGGAAACATGCCCGGTCATATTCTGATGTTAAAAACATATGCTTTACTGTGTTCTGCATTCGTTCTTGAGATGTGATCAACATACTGACCTGCCCATGGGCTCTCACACTCGTACAGCATCCACTCATCACTGCGGAACGTGCTGTGGAACCACATGGAGTGGTCGAGCGAGGCGGAGAACTTGGCCCTGTACTCTGGGTAAGGCAGCAGCACTGTGCCCAGCAGAGCAAAGTCTGACACATAAGCAGCAACGCAGCAGTGCAGCTTCATGTTACCTTCCCCTACGCAAACACACAACAAAAACAGCTTAGCATGTACCATACGTCTTACTCTGATCTCAAGCACGAGGCTCGATATCTTTGTTTATGGATCAATCTGGTATTACAAATGGTATTTTGGATCTGTATGCAGGGCAGGATGACAATGATATTTTACCAATATGTCCTCGTGCTCGCCCCCAAAACAGCCTTCTTGGTTGCTCTGGACCCAGTCTGTAAAAGTGTGCTGGGTTGACTGGTTTTATCTCAATGGGGACTTCATTAGCCAGCAGTTTTTTCAGGCCTTTCTTTGCCTCCTCTGCCAGGTCAGGTTTACTGCAAAACAACCCACAGACAGAGAGAAAACACAGTTATATGTTTGCTTTATTTATTCTAACTGCAGTTCTTTAGTAACGCATAATAGCAGTGTTAGCAAAACTGTTGTTTTAAACAATAATAATAAGTTTTACATTTTTTGATGTCTATGAACTTCAAGATTTTTTTACTTCAAAAATAAAATGCTTGTGTGGCCTCTCAATCTGGCCTGATTAATGATCCTAATCCATGAAGTTTGCATAATAAATAAAGTGAAGTTTTATATGATTATAACTAAAGTGAATACAAAAAACCCCACAGGGTACCTGAAACTAGACAGATGGATAATGACAAATTTAGCTGACTTTATAGCTGGACTGAGATATTAGTGTTGTAAACATCAGCTTAACCAACAGTTAAATCTAAGGCTACGTCCACACGTACACGGGTATTTTTGAAAAC